GAGCCGGGCGTTGGAGGCAACTGACCCAATTTCAAATTATGGTTCTCCCACGTGGTAGTTTGGGACGCTGAAAGACCTAAATTCTCTGAGCGGCTTTCCTCGTCTCTAAAATGGAGACGATATCCTCATCATAGGATGGTTGTAAAGATTAAATTGCTTAACGCACGAAAAACGCCTTGTATTTCGAAGGCACTTGATTAAGCCGCTTTTCCGCTCTAACCTCATCCAGCAGCGACTTCCCTAGCCTCTAGCATTCTCTAATACAGTTGGTTCGAGCCATTCTCACGCAGATATCGAATGCAGATGCCCGATGCTGTTGAGGATGCATATTCCGCCTCCCATCGAGGTTGTAAGTTCCTGTAAGACTAAGGTCCAAGCTTTTACTCCTTTATGAACCAGCTCACAACTCAGCATTTGCAATATCTCCCTAAAGAGAGCTTTCCAATTCTTTTCCCTCTTCTTCGGCCTTAGTTTCATGCCATTCATTTATTGAACATTTATAGATCATCACTTATGTCCCAAGCACTGTATCTTGGGGCACAAAAACCCCTAGTTGGGGCATGGAGGTGGGACAGTGAATATTTTAAGTGCAATACAACCATACAGACGTTAGGATAGAAGCCTGTAAAGCTGCGGGTACACACAGAACGGCACAACCAGTTCTACCAGCAGGCATGGTCAGGAGATACTTCATAATGTCAAAATGCAATACAGAGACCAGACTTGAAAATTCCTTGGCCAGACAAAACCAGTCATACAAGCAAAGCTTAATTTAGCATATTTTGCAGGATAAGAGTTTAACTTGATCTGGGTCACTTCTTGCCTATACATCTGAAAATCATAATCAGAACTTAAGTATTTAAGTCCCCAAAACTGGTATGAGGTAGTTCAGTTCAGTCGCTTAGTCGTGTCCAACTCTTTGCGATCCCATGAATCTCAGCACGCCAGGTCTTCCTGTCCATCACCAACTCCCGAAGTTTACTGAAACTCATGTCCATCCAGTCGGTGATGCCATCCAGCCATCTCATCCTCTGTATCTGAATGTTGAGCTTTAAGCCAACTTTTTCACTCTCCTCTTTCACTTTCATCAAGAGGCTTTTTAGTTCCTCTTCACTTTCTGCCATAAGGGTGGTATGAGGTAACCACTAACCCAATTCCCTTTTAGTAAATTCTTGCAGAGGGTAGGCAAACAGATGAAGAGGATCAGTTGTATGGTGATGGTTGATAACTAGACTTATGGTAGTGACGACTTTGCAGAATATGTGTACTAAATTGCTTCAGTCGCATGGGACTCTGCGACCCCATGAACTATATAGCCCACCTGGCTCTTCTCTCCATGGGATTCTCCAGGCAATGTTGGAGTGGATTGCCAAATCCTCCTCCAGGGGATCTTCCCAACCCAGGGATTGAACCTAGGTCTCTTATGTCTCCTGCATTGGCAAGGCAGGTTCTTTACTACTAGTGCAACCTATAATGCTATACACCTGAAACTTGTATAATAAAAAGAAGGTAGAAATAAGAAATAGAAGCAGTTGAATAAAATATTCAATGTTTGAAGTTTAAACTGCAAAAAAGAAAAAAGAAAAAATTGTAATGTTTTAACCAATCACTGAAAAGACAACACACTCAACTGCCTTCACACTATATACACTGCTTAATAACATACCCTTAAGCCTCATTCCATATTTTGGTTTGAGTGTTACCAGTTTGCTGTCTTTTGGTTGTGTGCACGATACACTTTTACTGGTAACTGCTTCAGTGATTCATAGGTTTTACTTTTGTTTTTTGTGAAACTTTGAGTATAGCAAAACTGGCCCTAGAGTCTTGGATGGGGTAATGGAAGTGATTCCAGGCTGAGGAATCAGTGAAACAGGCTCTTTTGTTCAGGGAGCTGTGAGAAGTTTGATACCATCAGTTAAGTGAATGCAAGAGAGGATATGATGAGCGATAAGACTGGAGGTTGAAGGGGCCAGAGATCTGAATTCCTTGTTCAGCACACCAAGGAGTTTGAAGGTAATCTGGCAGACAACAGTGAACCACTGAAGGGGGTTTAAGTTAGGAAGTAACATGATAACATCTGCCTTTTGGAGGACAGATTCTGGTTGCAGTGTGGAGGCTGAAACAGAGAGGGAGATTGGAGCCAGAAAGCAGCTACAGTTCCAAAAAGTGAGGGAAAGGAAAGAGGCTTTAAACACTCTCTCTCTCTCTCTCTCTCTCTCTCTCTCTCTCTCTCTCTCTCTCTCTCTCTCCATGGAGAAAAATCAGCTGTTAAACGGTTCAAATTGCAGTTGAAGCTTTGAAAAGTTTGGCCGTGCAAAACAAGATGGGGAAATGCTGTGTAATTAACAGTAGTCTTCATTTGGAATCCCTACACCAAATAAGTGCTGGTTCTGTGACCATGGGCACTAGTTACTAACAAATTTAAGCCTCAATTTCTCCCCCATAAGGATTAAATTTCTTGCCTTACTTGACAAAAAAGCAAAACCATTATGCTGTTAAGAGGTATGAATAGAATGAAAACATACACTTATTCATTCAATAAACATTTATTGAATATGTTCTACATGCCAGACAAGGGGCTATTCTGTACTGCCCCCAAAAGGGGAGACAGGCAAGTAAAAACAGCGACAATAATCCTTTCACTACACCTTACAATTCTTAGAGAAATAAATAGAAACTTAATGAGATACAAAGATGGATAATAAAAGCATCTGTAAGAAAAGAAAATAGATTTTGAGGGAGAAAAACTAAAGGATATTGTAACAAGAAACTAGAGTAAGAGCTAGTACTCAAATTATGTTTAATTTAAAGAGATGCTAACTACGATTGTTTCTATTGCAACAAACTAAATGTAATAAAAATAAAGAATAATTTAATGACCCAGAGAATGTTAAAATACTGGAATGGCAGTATTCATTTCTGCACAATATATGGGAAGAGCATATCGAGAAGAACAATCTCCTTTTACTTGACATCAGGGTTCTGGACCTTTAGATCCCTTTTAATCCTGTAATTAAAAAGGAAATTGTTGAAAAAGTATATATGGCTTTCCAAAACTAGATATGACTTCTGTATTACCCACCCACTGTCCTAACTGGTTATTCTGGAGTGTAAGGAGCTGTGTGAATACTTCTGATAATTTCCAGGATTCACACATATTGATATTTCTAAAATTAACTGTAAGTTACTGAAAATGATCTAAAATATCTTTATGTCATAATGGTTAGGCATTTATTTCATTTACTTTGTGTATGTACATGTTCTTAAGTCTATTGTTGCATCTCTAGACCACCCTCTTGATTCTCTAACGACAGGCTGGCTATATTCACATTTTTAATCAATTCTGATTTTCCCTGCATTCTGTCAAAAAGGTTACGTTTAGGTGGACAAAAAGAAATTTAAAAGCAGCAACATTGGTTGTTGGTTAAATTATGGAGATAGAGACCTTCTCCAGACCTGGAAAACTCTCAGATTCAGGATAATCCAAATCTCAAAAATCTTATATTCAAAAGACTAATCTTGATTTTTCATGGAGCTCCTGGTACATGTTGGATATATAATAGACACTCAGTTAATGACATTTTAAAAAATCTTTCCCAAGTCATTCTAGAGCAAATGCTTCTGCTTAGCATTTCTTTTCCAATTCTACATTTTAGTACTTCTTTAAAAAAAAGATATCCTATGAGGGCCAAGGTAAATTCTATACCTTTTCAGAGTCAAGTTCAAAGAATTTTTTTTAACATAACTTTCACTTTATAAAGGTCTGCATAATCTAACTTAATCCTGATAACAGCTATATGAAATAGATGTTATTTTATTCTTTAAAAAAAAAACAAGGAACCTGAAATTTAGAGAAGTTCATTAACCACATGGCCAATAATGAAGATCCATAATTCAAATGGAAAGCTTTGAGGATCCACAGTATTTGTTTTTTTCCCTTATACCATGCTATCTCACCATGAACAAATAAATGCTAAACTAATCTGATGCAGATTAAAAGTAAAAGCAAACAGGAAAAAAAAAAGATAATACATGGAAATCTCTTAGATTGGTCTTAAGGAATAAGACAAATTAGATTTACAATCAAAGAAATAGAAATCAGATTAGATGCAGAGCACAAAGAATCAGAAATTCACACTGAAAGTGAAAATCATTCTCTCCTCTTGTTGGCCTCTACTGAAATTTCTTCCTTTTTCACAAGCTATTTCCTAGAGACCTTGTTGGACTGGAGGAAAAAGTTGCAAGACTATGTTGTCAGTTGGAGCAAAAAATTTCATTTTGTGTTCATTCAGACCAGCATGGAAAAAGGGTAGGGTAAGAGGGAAGATGAAAGAGTAAAGTGATTCGTTTCCTGCTCAAAAAACTCAGCTGTAGGCAAAAAGTTTAGAAAAAAAGTGGCAGTGGAAAACTAATAAATGGTGACACTTTAATACAGGAGACCCCCGTTCGATTCCTGGGTTGGGAAGATCCCCTGGAGAAGGGAAAGGCTACCCACTCCAGTACTGAGGCCTGGAGAATTCCATGTACTGTATAGCCCATAGGGCCGCAAAGAGTCGGACACAACTGAACGACTTTCACTTTTCACTCCCAAATAATCCCAGAATTCAGCTAGTTTATTTCTGCCCACAAAGGAGCGAGAGTATGAAGAGGCAGAGTGGGGAGGGGAGAAAGAAATATCCTATGGGCCATCCTTATTAATTCTCCCTGGTTAAATCTACAGGAACTCTCCATTCCCATTAATAGATTACAATCTATTCTTATTTCTTTAAAAAGTACTGTCAGTGAAATTAAAAGTCTAGATTTGCAGAGAAATTTAGTTATGGGGAAAATGAGAATTAAAACATTCATGCCATCTGGACCCAGATTCCTCAAAAATGAAAGACGAAAATAAAGAATACCATTACACTTCAGAAGTACAGTGCTTAGTTGAAAAATAAAGTCAGAATTCTTGTTATCTATTGTTCCTTTCTATATAGAAGTTACATCCTAAACAGTCTATGTTTTTTTTTTAATATTAATAGGTTTCATATGTTGAAATGGTTTTTTTCTCATTTCTGTATTTTAAATAAAGGTAAAAGATAATTTTTGTTCTAAGTGTCCCTTACATTATTTACCTTATCGTATATTGAAATCATCATAGTCTTTCATATATCTCTTATTAAAGACCAAAAGCTCTCTCTCCAACCTAAGGCCAGATCACTCAGTTCTTTAATTCTGAAACCAGCCTACTTTCCTTTCCTTTTTAACGCTCTCACTTCGTTTTTGTCCTTTAGGAGTCTACTCCCCAACTGGTTTTAGAACAACATCCCAACTCTAAACATAGGCTAATCTCATTGTTGCTATTAGTCTGAATTAAAAGTGAAAATAATACACATGAAAAAGTTTAAATTAATAGATTTAGTACCCAGTTTAGCTTCTGAATTCTCTTGGTAAGAGTTGATGAACATTATCAATATCTAGGTAACTCAGCAGATCCAGGTTTCCCTGGATGTAACTGAAGACCCACCAAACTTATGTATTATTTCCACTCTGCAGGAATTTCAGCTGGATGCATTTTACTGGATACTTGCCCTGAAAATTTCACATGGGAGCTTATCCTCACAACTAAAATTAAGCAGCTTTTTTGAGTTTTTTTTTTTTTTAAGTATTACTATTTAGCCTTATTTACAGAAGAGATTTAAGGAACTTTAGAACACAAGGAAAAAGGTTAAATAGATAAAAATTGTAATCTAGAAAAATACAGTTGGATCAAAAATAACAAGTCAGAATACAAATATACAGATGATTGAGTTCTACCTAATTATTAAAAGTAGGCCTGATTTTAATCTGAGATTTCTCACAACTAAAGCAAACACTGGAAACAGTCAATGATTTGCATTGTTCATAAGAAACATGCAAATTGATTTCTCAGGTTGAAGTAAAGCTCTTCCTGAAACAGGTCTGAATAAAATTTCTCATTTAGATTCCAAGAGATGTAATGTTTCCTCAATATCCTCAGAAAAAGGCAACAGGAGATCTCATTCAATGGTTTACTGACTTTTAAAAATTAGAACGGGAAAATGATAATCTCACATTACATGGCTTAAGGTCTAACTTTTGAAAATTCAAGCTAAGGTGATGAAATGGTAGCTGGCAAAAGTTACTGGTTAACACCCAACATTATCAGCTGCAAGTATTAAGGTGAGATCCTAGTATCTTCAATGTGGACTCACAGTGGGCACTCAGGCCAAGCCTGAATTTTCTAGGAAGGAAAAGAAAGTGGCAAGCCCTCCCTCTTCTGTTGCTTCTGTATTTTTATTGTTGAAGTAATGGCATTATATTTACAGATCTCTCCTCTAGTATGAGAGTTCCACATCTTAGTCTTTGAAACCAACCCCCAGACCAGTGCCTAAGACACAAATAAACTCGATAAATGTTCGTTGAATTGAATACCAACATAAAATCAAGATCAGGAAAATACTGAGAGTGGCAATAAAACAGCTACTATAGCCTACAACTTTCACTGAAGGAGGGGAGAGAAATCACCACGGAAAAGCAATTCAGAACATGAAACATGTCCCAGAGAACTGAAAGCTTTCAGAGCTCTACTTGATTTTTCTAGTATGTATGGACCTGGTCTTATCATGACATCTCATATGCTCCAGAACTAGCCCATTCCGCAAAGGCAGGAATACCTGCACTGGCTAAATACAAAGCTGTATTAAAAAGTGTAACATTTAGATTATCCAGGCTAGCAGGGTTGTGCATTCAAGACAGTAAAGTGTTCATATAATTCAAGGTAAATCTTTTCTATGACGCTTCTAAAAGTGAACTGGTTTTGAAGAAAATCATTTTACAGCTATTACACATATTGCTGCTCTAGTAAACACAACTGGAACAACGACTGCGTCATTATGAAGATGATTTATCATGCTTTAAAATTTCTTCCAAGAGACTTTCCAAGACAAATTCTTCTATTTGTCCTTTTTCTCCCTTCCTAGTGATTCTCCTCTGCCACCATCAACTGCATTCCCATGTCCCATTTTCTCATTTCTCCTACTATTATTGCTTTTTCTCTTTCTGCCTCCCTTATTTTTTCCCATTTCTGCACTTTCTTGCCTTTGTTATTAGGGGACCTTCTTTTTCATCACCCTCAATAGCCAGGGAATGTTTTATCCTTCTGCTTTCACAAAATGATCAGTCACATTGTGTATTCTGTAACCTTCGCTGCCTCCTGATTCTGCTATTTTGTCACTGATGACTTTTCTACACCTCAGTTTTTCTACATTTCACTTGTTCCAGACACCTGAAGGTGCCTGTGGTTAAGGGGGGAGCCAGTGCTAAGTCAAAGTATTACTCTGTGATTATTCTTCACACACACGTTCACTGTTTTCACTTAATTTTCAAAGTACAGTACAGAAGTTTCTATTAATGGCCCAGTTCCTACTTCAAGTCTTTAAAAGATTTAAGGAAAGAGATAAGTGGCAGACCAAAGAACAGGTAAAATAAGAGTGTTAGTGGAAACTAAAAATTCTGGACCACTCAGCATAAATGCATATACTATGAATAAACTACAATGTTGTCAGGCGATGAGGACTTTTGTCTAAAAAAAAGGTAATATGTCAACTTAGAAAAGCTGAGGTCTTTTCTTTTTAAATGTTTTCACTTTGTCTATAATCACTATAATTTTAGGAAAGCATTTAATAAAAATAAAACCTTTAAGTTATTAAGTCAACTATTTCTGTGTAATATAAAAGGTTTTAAGAATATGTATTCTTGTATGCCTCAAATTATATCTTCACTCTTACTTATATCAAAATAAGCTAATAAACTCTGAAAAACATCCAAATGCTCTTTTTGTGTAGAATTTGGCTAAAAGAATCCACTATTAAAACCACAAGGTAAGCTGATGAAACAGAGCTAAATATATACCTTAAGCCCAGGCTCTGAATCTTTTTGCATACTTGAACATTAGAGATAAGTATTTATAGAACTGGGGTCTGTCTCCTGGTTTCGAAGTGTATTTGAGGTAGGGTGAAACAAAGGCAGATAAACGTAACTATAATTAACGAAAGGAAAACAAAATGTCAAAGTAGCCAACTCAACTCATTTCTCTTGTCTCATAATGCGTATCATCAAATTCTTTAATTATAGAAAGATAGCTCGTCTGGGATCAAAGCAAACATCTGGTGTAAAAATTCAGTTTAACCTGGAGAACACAATTCCTTTCAGTCATGCAAGAAGGCATGGAAATAATTTTTGTTACCAAAAAAAAAACCCAAAAAGCATTACGTTTCTGTAAATGGGATTTTACCTATAAAGATAGTAAAGGCTCACCTTTACTGAGCATTGGGTATGTATCAGGTAATTATTAAGAACTGTATACGGATTGACATTTAACCCAACAACACTATGAGCTAGACATGATTATCATTATCCCTGTATACCAGAGGGGAAATGACCTGGAGTGACTCACTCAAGCTAACTTAGGTTCTCCAAGAGATTAAAATGCCAGACTCCAGTTAGCATCTTCATTTCCATGCTGCAGTGTCTCCTTACTATTTACAAAGATGACTGTGCTCTGTTCAGGTAAAATCCCGTCTGCTGTCTGATTATTCTCTCTTGCAGTCCATTTAAAATACATCTAGAAAGTATTTAATCATCATCAGAAGACCCAGTATCCCCAAAGAGTAGTTCTAGTTTAAATATTATAATATTTTCCCTATTACAGTTAATACTTGCAATTTTTACTACATCTAAAAAATGAATATATATGCATATATATAAAACATTTGAAACATGTGAAAAAGAATAAAATTTAAAAATTTCATGTTTTAAAAGAACATACCAGTTATTTGGGGTTCCACTGGAAGTATCTTAAAAACAAAATTCTTTCACTTAACAACACTAAAGAATGAGGTATATAAATGTTTTAATCACAGACTTTTACTGTATGCAATTAACTGTATTTCACAACTTGCATCTTACAAAAAGACAGTACCATAGTGCCTGTAAAAAGTACTGCAATTAAACAAAAAATTACATTACCACATGAAACCACCAAATATCACAACTGTCAGAGTCTACACTTTCCTTTCTTCAAATGTTATCATGATGTTTTTATGTGATATTTTGTATCCACATTATGATTTAAAGTTCATTTATAGTTCAAAAGTCTCCTACAGGTAAATATGTATTAAACAAATGGCTAAGAGAAAGCGGGAGACCCTAGAATTTAAGTACTGTGTGGTTTCTAAGTTGGATTTTTAAAGACAACATAAAACACTTTTACTAGTTGTAAACAAAAATGCAAAATCTGTAGTCATAAAAATATTTTATTGGTAAATTTACATAATAGTAAGTGGGGCTGTAAATATTTTTTTAATTTTAGGATATTGATAAATGCATAAACTGGCAAGTGTCTCTGAAAATAGGGTACTATAATTTTTATAAGAATTGTTATATTTAATAAAGAGGCCAATTAAGCTGATTAAATATTAGTTATTTCCTAGTTCTGTGCAACAGTTCCCATTTGTGTATTAATTAGATTCATACTCCTATGACCCTGGATAAGTCTGGGGCAAGGAAACAGTGATAAAACTATTATTAAGTTAAAGCTTTTCCAAAATTCAGCTCTTAAAATTACAGCTTTCTTTTCTCTTCTGTTTTCGTCAAATGCTTATAATTACTTGAATTTTAATGTTCTATACAATACAGAAAATACCAGTGTTCAATGACAATAGCACTAAACCTGAATTATAAAGCTACGTAATCAATGTTTTATTGTTTACTAGTCTGCTAGTAAACATTACAATAAATGAATGTTTTGAAAGATAAGCAAACCCCCCCAAAACAGATAAAACCTAAAACATAATTCAGAAACAATAATTTAGTAAAATGTGTCAAAAACATTGGCAATGGTTCATACAAATTCTTTATTTAATAACAATCTTCCTATTTAACCACACCAAGTACCAGCAGGTGTACTTAAGAGGATAACCATTAAGAAAATTCTGTTGCAGCAATAGTTGGTTAAGTTGATCTTTGACTTGTATACATATAACTATTTGTTTCACAATTCTCAAATAATACATATTTAGGCAACTTGCACTATGTTATAAAAATTTAAATTCTTACATGCCAATAGTAGAGAATTCAAGAATTATGTGTTAGAATTCACTAAACTAAAAGTGAAAATAGACTTACCAATAACACTGCATAATGAATAACTCAACCACATTTTCATGGCATCTTTAACTGTGGAGACCAAAACATTAAGTCTGGAAATGTTTGGTAGGCACAGATTGCAATTAAAATCTAACGAATTCTAACAAATTTCTATTTTAATTAAAACACAAATCATGGATTGTGTGTGAATATGTTTGTCATGAAAATGTGGTACTTCTTGGCATAATCCGTGTATTTGCATGGTATGACAGAAGTGAGGGAAACTGGAGAAAATAAACTTTAATGAGACTCTCCATTCAGTGACGAGGCCTCTCCTCTGGGTGAAGATGACCTGGACACTCCCCTCTCTGTGTTATCAGAGCTGGAGCCACTCTGACTGTGTTGATCGGCAGAGGCAGCACTAGATGCAGGCGGTGACTTCGTTTTCTCCTTAAAGTCTGTAATAATGACTGTCAGATCTCCAACGGTAACTTCCAAATGTTGAGCACTACTCCGATCCACATTTTTCAATCTTGGCCTAAACACAAAAGATGATAAAAAATTTTTAACTAGCTTTTCTATCTACCAAGTGTCTGAGCATGGCATGCATATTAAGTTAAAGTAAAAATGACAAAATAAGTACATCTATCTTTAAAGCTCTATTTTCATGTGTAACTAAACACAAAAATATAATTAAATGCTTGAAATCATTAACATTAATCAAGCCAATCATTCATGAATCTTCCTCAACGTGACAAAAAACACTGGGAGTAATGATCTCCTAATTGTGCTTTTATAACCTGATCATAATTTTGCAGACGGCTTATCAATTTCACTACAGTAAAGATTTTCGAACAGCAGTCACAGCCGCATCACAGAGGAAGCTGACAGCAGCCAAGGCTGAGTCAGGTGGAGGGCTGCCACTCCACTGATGTGCACTCAGGATAAGGGCATCGTGACTGTCTGCCCTGCCAGGACCCATGGCCATTCTGACTGGTTAAAATTCATGCAAATATCTGTTCAGTACTGTGAATATCACTCCTGGCTTTATGAGTGAAAAAGAAATAGTTTAAACACACATGTCTTTTAATCTAGTAAAACAAAAACAAAAAGCAGAAAGTGTCCTCACACTTAAGCCTGTATTTGTGGCCTCCGTATTTAATTTCTAATATAGCTTCAACTTGAAAAAATACTTTCATGACATAGTAAAACAGATGAAATCTTTCATTTCTATATTATATATTTCATATTCTACTTTCTACATCAGTGTTAAAAGACAATGTTAAATGGTTAATTTTATTATTTCGAAAGTGCCATTAAAACACTCTTCAAATTTACCTGGTTTTCTTATGACTGTTCTTTTTGCTAGTTGTTTCCTTTTCACTTTTTTCCTTTTCTACTTTGTCTTTTTTCTCTTTCTTTGACTGTGTAGGGGGTACAAACTGCTGAGTAACCTGCTGTGCAACCAACTGGGAGACAGGTCGAGGCTTCCTGTGTGCATGTTAAAAACAAAGGTTTTTTATTACTATAATTTAACAACATGATTTTTCATGAGAATACCTCAAATTATGAGAATAGATACATACTGTGATATTCACATTAAAAAATTTCTCATATGTAAGGTAATTCAGATGTGCAATTTAACAGATAAATGTATGTATACACACACACATATACATTATTATCTTTCCTAGTCAACAAAAATTATAATAACAGTTCAAAGTTATTGCCCAAGATATATAGTCAAACTATTAAAATGTAACTGTCACATAAATCAACATGAAAATTATAAAAATGTATATCAAACTGTGCTCATAGGGAAGCAAACATATAAACAAACATGAGATTTTTAAATTAAACTTGAAAGTTTACACTGAAATAAAATCTAAATGTATCCCTCCTCTCTCAGAGAAGGAAATATCTCACCATCTGTGAGAGTGGCTATTCTTTTCTTTAAAAATCATTCGTTTATTCATTCAGTAAATTTTCTCCTTATTGTTAAAGTCTTTAAGGTTCCTTACCTACCTAGCCACAATTTCACTGTGCTTTTTTGACCCTGAAGATCTTCCCAGTCTTTTGAGACTTGCCTAGCTTACTTATTAAAAAAAAAAGAAGAAGAAAAAATGTATTGAGAACCTACTGTAAAACTGTACCGAGAGAGATGAAATGTTTCCTGTCTACAGCCTTTGGTACCAGTTGTCACTCTATTAGCCCAGGGTCAAGGATCCCTCCAACTTTATGGTACAGTGTGGGTGGCCGAGGTCAAGATTCAAAGTTAATAGTCTCTTAAAATGAGAAAGACTACTAAAGAGGGGAAAAAAGATGGGAAGGAAAAAACAGGGAAAAATAAGACAAAAATAAATCATAACAGATGGTCTACAAACAACAGTAATCTATTGCCTGAAAAATCCTGACCCTATTTTGGTCAGTAGAGCTGTTTAAAAAAAATTTTTTTCCTCTGTTCTTCTAAAACAAGACAAAATAAAAACCAAAGAGAAAATACTGCACAATCTAGCTTTAAAAGCTGCAAGGAGGAATCCTTTGAAGGAAGAAACAGGAAATGCAGTATCTAAAACATCTTAATAGATGGATATTGAATTTTGTTTAGAACCTACAGAGTCTGAAGTACAGATAGGATATCCAGGAAAGATGTCCAGAATACAATATAAAAATAGGGCTGACCCAGATACCAGAGTTAATGATGCATATTAAGAGTTACATAGATGAAAATATTATTGGCTGAGCTTGTTCAGGAAATAAACTTTAAAAGAAAAAAGACTAAAGCAGTGGTTCTCAAATTTAAGGTACATCAGGATTACTAGAAAGTCTTATTTAGCTTGCTTAGCTCTGCTCCCAGAGTTCTGATTCAGTAGGTCTCAGATGGAGCCTAAAATCTGCATTTTTAATAGCTTCCCAGTTAAGCAGAAGCCTCCGGTCTAGCCACCACATTTTGCAAAGAAGCTTGAAGGAGTATAATATATTAACATTACTGCAGCAATGAGTTTAAGATGGAGATCAGGGAGTGGCAGAGAAATGAAAGAAAGATATGAAGGAACCTGATAATGCAAAGCTAAGGAGTCTGATTTACTCTTTAAAGATGGGAGATCACTGAAGAAATTCAGACTTGAATTTTACAAAAATTACTGGCAGCGATCTGGAAGAGAAAGGTACTACAGAGGCAGGGAAAGCTACTTTAATAGATCAGGCAAAAATAAAAAGGGCTTGAACTAAAATGAAGCAGACATGGGGTTATTTAAAGACAGAATGAAGAAGCAGAATCAAGGTGACATGGTGACTAATTAAATGTGCCTTTCTCACTTCTCAACCAATACAGTCCCTTAGCAAAACATACAGAAACTCTTGCTTATTCTCATGTAACCAGTATTCTGTGGATGAAATTAAACAAGAGATAAAGTCATAGATGTGGATAAATGCTATGGAAGAAAAAAAAAAAAAGTAAGGAACACAGGGAGTTTTAAGGAAGGAGTTGCAATTTTAATTTTACCGTCTCTTTCCTCATCTAGAGTATAAACTCCACGAAGAAAGAGGTGGTATCAGTTTTATACACCACTGGATAACTAGTACCTAGCATAGTACTGGAAAATACTAGATACCTAATATTTGTTGAAAAATGAATGAATGATAAAATCAGGTTTAACGAGGAAAGGTTTTGCATTTATTAAAACATTTTAATTGGAAGACAACTGTTTTACCATGTTGCAATGTGAATCAGCCGGTAAGTACGCGTACGTCCCCGCCCCCGGAACCTCCCTCCCACCCTTCACCCACAAAGATGTATTTAAAGGAAAGGAACACTGTCTCATGCTTACTCAGAGGATCAACCACTCACTACACAGAAGCCAGCAAGCAGTCAAAGGCAAGAGCAGCAGGAATTAATTCCTCTTTTAATTATTCTAGGGTATGTAAAGAGAAAGAAAGTTCAAAGGTGTGGCAGGTTGTGGAAAGATTTGGTTAGACTACTGCCTGGTGAACCAGTGAGTCACCTAAAACTGCGAGTCACTCCAAGCTAATGCAACTGAGGTGTAGTCATCCTTTGTCTCGCAAGGCATTATGGGTCTCTGAATCTCTTCCTGCCATAACCAATGGGAGTTTGACAACTTCCTTTATCAGTTTGTACTCTTACTCCCTTAAACCTAAAATTGAATACAAAATAAATTTATAAAAATTTTAAACTGAATTACAATAAATTGCAAAACTAAAAAAAAATCACATTCTAGAGTAGAAACCCTGATGTTTCCACCAATCAATAAATTGACATGAGTTATTTACAGGCCATTCTCACTAACTTCAGATATATAATCATGTATATTCTCCTTATTTAGTGCTGTTTTTAAGCAAAACAACATTTTTCTAGGTTTTTCTGGATTAATTATTAATCTCAACACAGTATTTCCCTTAAGATCTAACTGTCTCAATCATGGATTCTTTGATCACGAACGTTTTAGGAATGTAACTGCTGTGTTGTGGTTAGGTACTGAATATCTTTACAACGCTATCAATCCCTCCCCTTCCCCATCAGTATCTGTCTCCAAGTTGGTACATGTTGCTCATGAGACACAGTTCCTCAATCACTCCCACTTTTACGTAAGAAAGAAAACTAATTCCCAACTTCATGAAACTTACAATAAAACTGCTATCAAGTCTTTTTCATAGTTAACAAGTTCTCTCTCCAGAATCTTTCTAGAACCATTCCCCCTTTTTATATGGCCCATAAATCTGAAAATGAAAGCATATCAGTCAATAGAGCATGATTTTCTCCATAAAACCATGAGGTTGAGTTAAATATATCAATATTTTAAAACTAGTTATGAATACAGATTTCTTCTAAGTGTCTCATATTCTCAGAGGTAAGAACAAAAGTAATAAGTGTATATTCTTCTACAAGGTAAAAACAACACAGAAAGAAAGACTAGCTGGCCTGGTCAGGTGAAAGACTGGAATCGGGAGACAAGTTAGAAGACCATCACATCAAACTAGAAATGATGGTGCTGGTCATGTTGGGTTTGTGGATTTTATAAAATTTAAGAAAAGGTGTCCCTGGAGCAAGTGGAAATATGAGACTAGTGATCGCATAAGCAACCAATAACTTCTGTATTTGGCACTGTCTGTTGTTAATTTTTTGTTAGTTTTTAAGCACCAACAAATTTTCTATAGTTGCTCTCTTCTGCCTCAAAAAATATTATTTTTGTTTTTCAGTAGTTACATCTCTTTCTCTTTTAATCCTAAATTTTCCTAAATGTTTATTAATTCATTCTTTTATTCTTATTTTAATTAGATGGTTGATTTTCACTTAAAAATTACATCTTTGCTCCTCTTTTTTGTAGGATTATTTGATCTGGTACAACTAAAAGAAGCACAAAACATGTGTATACATGTAGCTTAACTATTGAACAAGCTTTCTGCTGCTCTCTAATGGCTGAATGAGTTTCAAAGATCCTTCAATGAAGGCAGGAGGAACACAGCTTCTGACAACCTTTTCAGCTTATCACAAACTGACTCACCTTCACCATGCTCTATTCAAAAGAAAGCTCTCCTATCTCTAGGGGTCTTAGGTTTAACGGTGATCCCTTTTCTACTAAGTGAGAAAAATCTAGAGGAGAGCAGGGGATTTTAGAGGTAGGAGATAGGATATAAGGGGGAGGGTATTTATAGTATGCTTTTTTTATGTTCAGCAATTTATCATTCATGATTTTTGACAATACACCTACAACCCTGAAGGTTCTGTGACCAGGACAAAAAGGTCACCCAGTTAGAAAAATAAGTGCTATCCAGACATATCTCAACTGTACTCTATTATTCACATATGTCACGATTTGATGTAACTTGTAACATTTGGCATTCCAAAATTTGGGGATCTCCATGTGTCCCTATGTATCCATCATAAAAAGGTCAAAGAGACAGTGTAAAGTTTAACAGGTCTCTTTTGCTTTCTTGTAACCTAAAAATTGATTTCCTGTAACATAAAAAAAGAGGAGGGAACATTTCAACAAACATTTATGGATATCTCCTATTCATCAGAACAAAGTACATTTAGGAGCTGCTTGACTTTTCATGTGGGTAGGAGACTGGTTATTGGTGACTTGATATATACTGTGTCTAACTATGTGTCTGCCCTCCACCCCAACCACCCTGCAACAAAAATTCTATGTGCTGACTATTATGAAATAAACATTTTAAGCTTGATTAACCTCATCACAAATTAGCTTTGTCAAGCTGGATAGGCAACAAATAAATAAGATATAAAGCAATTATTCATTCTTTTCTAAAGGAGGCAACATTACTCAGCTGAGAAAGACAATCTGTTGCAAAACACTTATATATATTGTAAATTGAAGCAATATAATAAATTTAAGTGAGTTAAAAGACTAAACAAAAATCTAAACCTGTTGCAAGTCTGTTGATACACTGCTAACAAAAGTCCAAAAATACAGCCAAGGAAGATTTTATAAACAAGCCCCACTGTTTGACAA